CTCTGCCTGGTGCCAGTTTCTCGGTCTCTTTGGTTTTCCACGACCTTGGCAGGATGTGGAGGCAGGGTGGTGTATCGGTTTGTCTGGGGTTTTCTCATGATTCCACTGGGCTTATAGATAAGTAGAGGATGTTTCTCCCGTCCTGCCACATTGCATCAGAGTCCCTGCGATTAAGGCGACATCACTGGTAGTCCTAACGAACCGTGCATCCAGGGTCTTCCAGGCTAGAACACTCGGGTCCTCTACTACGCTCCTTTCTCTTCCTCCTTCACCTCCTTTTCTTCTCCTTCTACCCTCGTTTCTCTTTCTCTGTCTTCTCTCCTACTGTACCTGTTGCCCGGCCTAATTCAGTACTGTAGGGCTCTGATTTACACTGTTTATGAGGGGATTTTAACACACACTGGACCATGGAAGTCGACTTTCAGAAATTGGTCTCCTCATCTCGTCACAGTTATCACTGTAAATAAATGCAAATTATTAAACATTATTAGCATTGTGCCAGACTTATTTCCTAAGATGTCATAGATTACATTTTTTAAATTTAAGAAAATAATTTAAAATATTTAAAGAAATGTGAAACATACCCTAAGAATAGCCCCAAATCCCACTGTCCTGATGAAACACGGAAATAAGTAAAAGAAACCACGCCCCTTTGGCGTCGCCCGGGAAGGGGGAGGAAATCTGATCGTAGGAAACAGAACTCTCTGAAGTACATCCTACGACAGTTTGGCTTAGGATGGGACATTCTAGTTCTGGGAGCCTGAAAATGAAGGCACCATTCGGGTCGCTGTGAAAATGAGATTCACTTTCTTTATTGAGTAGACCTCTCTCTTCGGTGGCCTTTTTCTGCATGCATTTACCGAGTGGGACCAGCAGGGGGCGCGCGAGGCGCGGGCCGCCGGCGCGCCTGAGAAGGACGACGCGCCCTTGCCTGGCTCCTACCTGGTCGGGGGCGCGAGCAGTCGTCCGCCGGGTGGGAGTGCAGAGTGCCCTGGGTGACACCCGGAATGAAAGTATCCAATGTCTGATTGATCTCATTCTGGCCAGATATTGTTTGGGGGAAAGTAGGAGTAGCACAAGTACTTTCTGCCCATTTATTTTAAAAATATTTTGGAAACATTTAACTATTTCAGCGCGTCGGTGATGACTTTTATGAATCAACGGTCAGTGCAAAGAAGGAGGGGAGTAACCGGGCCAGGTCACCCTGCCCTCCTAGTGCGCCCTGAAGCTTGGGGGGGGGGGGCAGACCCCTGGCCGGGCAGGCACCGGGTCGCGCTCCTCCTCCTGTCTCCGTTTCCTCTTTCGTATTTCATGTGCTTGTCTTTTTTTCTTTCATTTCCACAACTCTTTTTCTCCCAAAGTTTCCTCTTTTTCATATTTTACTTCATTCTTTGTTCTACTCGTATTCCAAACATTGTTTCTAATTATTTCTTTTTCTCATCTATCTCTTTGTCACTTTCCATACATTTCTGTCCTCCTGTAACGTAAAGCATCAATTTAAAAACGTCCTTTTCCTACCGTGCCTGCCTCGCAAGCGCAAGGTCCTGAGTTTGATCCCCAGTACCAAAAAAAAGTCCTTTTCCTTTTAGTTTTATTAAGAAAGTTATCTTTTCACTCTTTTTGGAAATAGAAACAGTGATCCTTAATTTGTGTATGTAAGACATGTCGGACCAGGTGCTGTGGTTGAAATGTAGCCATAAAGAATGAATTAGGGCCCACTGTCACCACTCCAGTTCAACATACTTCTGGAAACATTAGCCACAGCAATTAGAAAAGAGAAAAAAAAATAAAAGGAATAAAGATAGGAAAGGAAGAAGTTAAACTCTCATTATTTGCTGATATGATACTTTACATAGAAGACCCAAAAAACTCCACCAAAAGACTTCTAGACTTAATTGACAGATTCAGTAGAGTAGCTGGATACAAGGTCA